AAATTAATTATTTTTAATAAATATAAATACATTTTAATAATTAAAAATAAAAAATAAAAAATAAAAATTTTATATAAATATATTAAACAAAATTTGTTTATAAATAAATCTCTACTCATTTTAATAATGAATTTTCAAAATTATTAATTTTTAAAAAATAAAACAAAATAATCACTATCATTTAATAAAGAGAAGAAAACTTTTTTTTTATAATTTATATATACCATTAAAAATCTATTTGGTTACCCATGTCCTGAAAGCAATAGCCAAAGAAATGTTTGAAATCAATATAATCACTTATATTTAGACGAGAATCTTTCATAATTTTTACCAAAAATACTTTTCTAACAATATAATAATTTCATTGATTTAAATCAATCATTTTCTAAAATAATCACTCTTATTTCTTTTATTACCAAGCACTTCTTCCTTTAATTTTTGTAGCTGAAAGTTTATTTTTCAAATCTAAACCTACTATAAAGAAATGTAGACTTTCACAAATATTATGATTAACCCAAATGAAGTGAATTGATTCATGTCAGTGCCCAGTCAATACCACCTTATCAGGCTTTAATGGACAATTGAAGGGGTTAACGGCTAAATGATGTCATTTTCACTAAAAGGGCTGTTTTGTGGATACCGTGAAGTAAAGAGGCTCATTTGCCATGGTTTAAAATACAAGGGCTGATCTGCCACAACATTACAAGTACAGGGGCTCAATTGCACCTTTTGCCATGCTGAAACTAGTATGAGGCTTGGGGCCCATGGGGCCCAAAATATCCAAAACAGGAGAATTATTGCGTAACATGATGGCAAGGTAGTTTGTTTTTGTTTTCTTAATTAGGAATCCAACTGATTGACATAGCGACAATCCTTCCTAATATTTCCTTGATCGCAGGTGAGCGGATTGTTTTCTACAACAAGAGGATGGCCCTGGCAAATTGGTCTTGGAAATACCCATTATCGGCGGCCATCTTCTCCACAAAAGGAAACGTAAGTGGATCAGAAGCCAACGCCTGGTCCACTGAGAGCAGTCCTTTGTGTTCCAACGAGAGTTTGTGGTAGAAGTTGTCAAGAATCATGGGCGTTTCGCTGTCGTTCCTAGCGTACAGCACCGCTTTTGGTTCAGGATCCGGCGTAGGACACCTTCCCTTCAGGTGCTCAGCATAATCAGGGTCCAGTGTTGGATCAACAGTGGGGTAGAGCCTGTGGACTAAGTTGACACAATGGACTTGTCCCAGGGAATGTGCTCCTATATATACATAAATGTACATTAATTTTGGCTTAAAAATTTAAACTTAATGTAATATTGAACAATTAGCTTTTGATTTTTGAAAAAAGATTCATGTATATTGATTGAATTATTCATTAAAAATGTAATTTGCTTATGAATTTACTAAAATATTAATAATAAAATAATATAAAAATAATTTTATTAAAAATATTTTAATAAATTCATAATATAAATTGTACTTTTAATATACAGTTTGTTATGTAAAACACCTTTTTCATTAAAAAAATTATTTTACCATTTTACCTAACAGGACAACAGTTGCTTCAATGTCGATACTAATGGATTGAAAGGTAGAAAGTACAGATGGCATTGAGTCGATGCGATTGGGGATGAAGGCTTTCACCTCCGTCAGGTAACTTTCCCGGCTATCTCTCCGGCCAGTTTTCATTTCAATGCATGGTCCTCTGAACTGTAGAAGTTCAGGTTTTACTTTTTTATAATCAACATATTTTATTTAATATGTTTGGTAAAGGGAGATGAGGAATTAATGAAGAATTACCATGACAATTCCGTCTCTAGCAGAAAGAGCAATAATATAGCACAAGAAACCGTCATGGGGCATTCTTTCTCCAGGGCCTCTTTGATGGTTCTGACATACTCGAAATTTCTCATCCCAGAACTCCTATCAGATTCCTGCCCCGATTGAATTCCGTTTGCTGTTTCCAGCAACAGGGATGCATCGCAGGACTGCATAAAAACAATTAATATAACGCAGCCTGAGTGTGTATATATCATGGGATACACATGATGATGCTCAACAAATTAAAAATGTACATAGCTTTTCAAATATATATATATATATATATACATACATAGGGAGTATTTTTTCAATTCAAATAAAAATATCTATCTAGACAATTAAAGGAGGAGTGGTTAATTAAACTGACTTTTTTTTTTTTTTTTTTTTTTTTTTGGATTGAAAAGGATTATTATCATATACAGTTATACCTTAACTTCGCAATCATGAAGGAGATTTTGAACCCAGTATAATTTGAAGACTTCTTGTTTGATGATCTCTTCAGCATTTGGACAGCTTTGTACATAGTAGTTTATTTGAAGATCACTTTGATCTGCGTTGTTTTTATTTAAAAAAAAAAAAACCTAATATTAGAAGCAAGCAAGAGGTGATTGTTTTGATGTCAACTAAAACAACTCAAATTAAAACCTATTATTAGCCTAACAACTCTTAAGGTTAATGTTGAGTTTTTAAAAGTTTTAGATTAAGTAATTATAATAGTAATTGATTTCCACACTTATACATGCGAGACTCATTTACAAACCCTATCAATATGAAATTCGAGGTGTTATAATAATATAGATTGTAAAATACTTTTCTAATAAATTAAAGATATAAGAAAGCAATACCATATTAGCAGTAATGGCAATAACAGACAGAGACGTGGTGGAGCACAGGTTGTGCTTTTGCCTTCTGGTGGTGGCAATCTTTAACTTCATTTTGCCTTCTCTGTGAGTTCCAGATGAGGAAATTTTCTCCCCTTATACAGAAGCATTTAGAAGTGCAAACGTGCAATATATCAAATTCATAGCATGAAGCTAGCCACTTCCACTAGGTCACTTTCTTTGACCTTCGGCCTGTTTTGTACTAGCACGCTGGCGCGGTCGTGACTCGTGACTGCCACTAGAAGGATAGATCAATATCAATAGAAAAGTGGTACACATTAATCTTATTTTAAGATATAGTCTTGCAATTATATAATTATTATTAAGCATTTAATAAAAAAATTAAATATTTTTTAATACTATTAACCTATAGTTCAAAACGTTTATATTCTATAAATTAAATATTTTTTAATATGCGCGCTAAACTATAATTCATTAACATAACTATTATTAATTATAAACTTATTACCCTTTTTTTTGTCGCGCCTTTTTTCTCTTATTACTTGGCTGCATGTAATGACATTTGCGAGCAAAACCATTATATGAAACCGTCAAAAATAATATAAAAAAAGCTCAAATAATTCATTAATTCTTTTTAAAAAATAAAAAATACAGCGTAAATTTTTTCAATAATAATTGATTACTATAAGAAATAAATTATTACCTTGTATCTTCATTGGTCCTCCTCTCGGAACCCTCGGTTGTTTACAGTATTGAAACTGTATAATCTTGAAGTTTTTTAGGTATTTTATTGGTTTTTTGAGTTTTAAATTTGCAAACACAAATTATAACCTTATGTTAGACATTAAAAATTTAATAAAAAAAATAATTCTATTATAAACTTACTTCGTAATGTTTTTGGTCTCCCTCTTTTTCTCTTATTATTTGGCTCGATTGCAATGATATCTGCTTGTAATAATCATTTCATAATCTTATCACTTGACTCAGTAAAATTTATTAATCCATATTTTTAAAAATAAATTTTTTGTAACGTGTTTCAATTATAATTGATTATTATAGCAAAGAAATCGCTACCTTATATTTGGACCTTTTTTTTTCATTTTTAAAAGTATAAACATTAATAAAAGAACATATATATTTTTTAATGAACTTTTTGTTTTCATCTCTTTTGATGTCTATTTCTTCTTTGTGTTTTCTTTAGCAAATAGAAAAGGATTTGTTGAATTTAAATTCAATTAGGAATAATCGAAGTAAGTGTTTGAATGAAGACATAGTAACATACATTCTGAAAAAGGATTTTGCAATTTCATAAATAAATACAATTATATAGACCAAATTCATTGAAGAATAACACTTAATATCACTTAAGCAACAATTGTATACAAATTAAAAAAAAAAAAAAACGATTGTATACAAATTTATGTACCCTAAAAAAAAAAATCACATACAAATTCTATTGGAAATTTTGAATGGGTTTTTTTATTTATTTATTTATTTATTTATTTATTTATTTATTTAAAATATAATCTCGGTAAGAGTAATGTAGCAACATATGTGAATATCAGTCTCGGTAAATATAATGTAGACATATATGAATATCAATCTTGGGGTTTCAAATAGAATTTGTCTACATTATACGATTGTTAGTAATTTGTATACATATATTTATTCTATTTCAAACATGACTATCAACAGATATTGAACTATCTTATGAACCGTTTATATTGAAAATACCAACTGTGATGAAGATGATTGCGAAGCTAGAATGTTCGGTACTTTTTTTAATAAATTACACTCCCTCTATTCATTTTTAGTAAGTTTAGTTTGATTTTTTGAGTTTTAAGACAAAAATTTTAAATGTAAATTTAATAATCTATATAAATAACAATTGAAAACTTCTTTTATTAAATAAAAATACTTAACAAAAACTATATATAGGAACAAAAAAAAAATTCGTAGGTAAGAAATGCTGTGTTGCTTCATGTGTAATTATCCAAAGTCACATGATTAT